TTTTTTTTTTTACTTAATTTGGTCGGTAACATATGAAACTTGTAATTTGGTCGATAGCATATAAAACCTGAAATATGAGGTATGCTTGCAAGCTCAATCTTAATACTTAGATACTTTTTTATTTTCATAGATGTAATGATATAAAATATAAAAATTTATTATTTTATATCATGATATAAAAATTTATTTGAAAAATTTATTTTCATACTTTTTAACCACAAAGAACAATGTTATTAATTTATTATTTAATTAAATTAATATTATGAGATAAATTAAATATATGATCGACAATTTTTTATAATAATTTAAAGTTATAAAAATTATTCATATTATTGAATTATATATTCTTTTACTAAATAAATAAGTATTTTAAATTAAGAAGTTATATGTTATATAGGAGGATTATACTTTGGCTTCTATGATTTTTGAACATATAATAATTCATACAACTATTTTTTAATTTGATTTTATTGAAAAACAAAATTTTATTGAAAAATGAATGTTATAGTGATAAAAAGTACATTAGTAACCTAAGAAATTAACTATAGTGAAGGGCATTTTCGGTAACTCAATTTTTTCAAGAAAGATCTCTCCTTTTTAAGAGAGTTAATATTAAGATTATAAACACATTGTCAACTTAAATTATAAATAAGTCTTAAAATTTAATAACTTTTTATTTGTTAACAATTCTTCAAATATAAAATTTTAATAAATCATCTTTGTTTTTACATCCATATTGCATATATGTAAAATGATCTTTAATTTGATATCCATATCGCATATATAAAATTAAAAAATAATTATGCAAACATTTTTAAACAGGAAAATATCTATGAGTCCTAATTAAGAGAAAATATAAAATTGTTAATGATAAGTTCAAATAAATTTATATATCAAACCTAATTTGATATAAAGTATTGTTAAGTAATATTATATAATATAAGTTTGAATAACTATTATAGTTTACTACGAGAGAGAGTCCCAATAGTGCGGATGTCATTTGGAATAAAATCATAATGCATTTAACATAAAATATTTAATAATATATTTAATTTTGAAACTTCTATGTTTATCTTTCTAAAGAATTTTTTGTGTATAACTTCATTAAGAAACACCCGCGTAATACAGGGATGTTGTACTATTTGTAGAGCTATAGGACAGAACTGCAACTAACCCTAACAATTTTGTTTCTCTTCATAGGAACAGTATACCTTAAAATTCCCACGTCAAAAGCCGTTTTCTCTCTAAATAATAAAGAAACTATGCACATTAACTAGTACGAACATTCAGTAGACTCCCAAGCCGGCTATATAGACGAGAAAAGCCTCAACTATTTATGTTCCCTAGGCAACAACCTATTATAAGTCATTCTAAACATATATGTTTTTTGCAGTTATATATTTTTAGAAAATATATTTAAAGAGAGAAAAGCTCCAAAATCTGAAGCTATGGAAAAGAATCAGGGATATATACCTTTCGTGCTCTTTTGATAACAACAACCTGGCCATCAGGCAGCTCAGCCTTGTACACAGCCCCAAACCCCCCACCACCTATCCTCCGTGACGGAGAGAAATTATGTGTGGCCCGCACAACTTGGCTCATATTTAGATGAACAGAACCAAGCTTATTGAGTTTTGGTGACATGGAGAATCTTGAAGGACTTGGAGGCACCCTCGATGGACTTGGAGGCACTCTCTGTGGACTCCCAGGAAAACTCTCGTATGTGGGGTTCATTTCTAAAGATGAAACTGAATCCACTGCAAGAATAGCACAAATATTACATAAAGTTTATCTATGAAATAAGGATCGAGCAAAATTCTATTAACGATATTCTTGTTCCTTGTGATTTCTTACGAGCAAAATTCATTTTTCCATATAGTGAATAATGAGAAATTTAGGAAGAACTACTCTACTGCAAAGTTTAAGCCTCACATATCAGATCTGTTTCATAGACAAATGGAACGACAATTGTTAGTTAACTGTATTCCACCCACATAAGTTCATCATATGCATTATGGGTTTATGTGGTCGTGTTCACAAGTCTCATTTCTATTTTTCAACTATTCACAAGAAAAAGTTTAAGCCTTTTATTGAAGTTCCCATTGGAAATCAAGTAAGTCGTTTAGTTGTTACTTTTTCTATGACAAGAGGACTTTGGAAGCATAGCCCAAAACTTTTCATTATCATCAGGCAAAAATCTATGTGAAATCATACTTAAAAAACTACAATAAAAAATTTTCTTAACTATGGTCAAACCTACCTACGTTAAAAATGGCACTTGAAAACCTAATAGCCAAACATAAACTTATTTTCTGATTATGGAAATTCACACAAATATCCAACATGTTCTCAATTTTACTCGTAAAACTGATACCTTCTAATAATTCATTTTTTAACACTAGAACCTAGAATATTGGACATGAAAACACATCCGTAGAAGACCTAAGGCATCCTAATGATTATTGGACAGTCCATCTTCATGAGGTAAAACTGTAAACGAGTTCCTAGTTGATGTTGTAATTTCGAATTGTAGGGAGATCACTCTAAACCACAAACTACCTCAGGCCTTTATATGTATTTATTGCAAATGGTTGACAATAGTCATTGATGTTTCAAGATGCAGGCCCAAATGTGAATGTTAGGGTGGCAAATTCTGCAACTGTGTCGTGTATGTGTTTCATTATAATGTTTTAATATTATCTATTTTGTTTGATAATAAACATGATAGTAACTTTATTGTTAACTAATTTTTTATTTCGTGATACTTTTGAGTCGTTCCATGTCTCATTGCGTAATTTGTTATTTAATTGTGTTTTCTATCGTGTCACGTTTAATGTTTTGTATCTTGTCAGTCATAGCCACCCCAAGTGAATGTCATCAAGGATAACTTTCGAAGCTGGGGTGCTTTAACAAAAGCATGTTGCTCATACAACTTTGTGTAGAACTATAAAATTGATTTCTTCATTTCTTGTATATCATAATAGGGATTACTAGGTATATATATACTAGTCAAAAGGAAAAGAATTAGTAACCTAATCTACGAGATTGCAATATCACCTAATTGATAAAACCTAATCTGAATATATCCCCCCACTGATCTTTGGACTTAAACATATTCTGTAGTAATGAAACCTTCTCCGACCTTATCACGAACGAAGTAACAATCTATCTCGATGTGCTTGATTTGTTCATGAAATACATATTCGATGCATCATGGTTTGCTGCTTGGTTGTCACACCAATGTTTTGCTGGGAGAGCAAAGAATAATCTAAGTTGTTTTAGTAACGGTAACCATTCCGCATTTGGAATGCCCAATAAAAACACACTTGAGAAATTTGGGATTCAACTTAGTGATAAAGTCTAGCAACCCGAACAAAACAAGCACTTCCAAAAATTTGAGGTGGTCGAGGAAAAACATGTTTATCTAGAAAAGGAACAGAAAAGGGAACTTTATGAGCCCAAATTATGGAGGGCATTCAATTAGTTGAAAAAAAAAAAAAACAAGCAGTAATCAGCATCAACCCAAAAAGCAAATAGTTTTAGGAACATTCATGTGAAATAATATTGTTCCAGCAACCTCAAGAAGGTTTTTACTTTTAGCAATACCATTTTGAACTGGTGTATCGACACATGATGTTTCATCCAAAAATCCCGTATTCAAGCATATGAGACTAAAAATGAGACAAAATCTTTTGCATTATCACTTCGAAGTGTTTGAATTGTAGTTATTAAATTGAGATTTAAGTTCAGCATAAAATGTCGAAAATTGTTATCTTCGGAATAACTTTTCATAAAATATATCCAATTAACATGAGAAAATTCTTCAATAAAAGTAATAAAATATCTAAACCCAGATTCAAAAGAGAAACGGAGACCCAAACATCACAATGGACTAACTTAAACGGGGATGCAACCTTCGTTTTTATTTTAGGAGATAAAGAATTACGACAATGTTTCGCAAACTAACATGACTCATACAATAAGGATGACAACCTTGAAAACTAATTACTCAATCTTTTCAAACTTTGGAGGGAAACATCTCTAGTGCTGGGATAAGAAGTGACTTTGATATCGAAGAGTCGAAAACACAAAGGACATCAGATTTACATCCTTCACCTAGGATCTACTTAGTTGAAAGATCGTTAAAAGATCCTGAACAGTTAAATGGTTCAAAAAGAATGAGATCTACAATTCAATGATTTAGTAAGTTTGCTGCCAGAGTAGGTTGAATGCAAAATTAGGCAAGCTTAATATAGAGTGCAATGAAAAAGAACGAGTAAGATGAACTAAATCTCCAAGACACGAGTAGTAGACCCATCAACATACGCTGATATGAGAAGATGGTGCATAGGGGTGAAGTGTGAAAAAAAAAAAAAAGTTTGGGTTACCTGTCTGATCTCATCACCACCCATCTATATGGTGCCTTTAGAAATAAGGCTTGTGGCAGGCAAAAAGGGCAAGTCGAGAATATTCATCAGTCGATTTGGTCACCATGTCACCATGTCAGACGATGACGCAACATGAACAGAGGGTCTCTTTTGGGACAGAACAAACACTTTTTGGGAAAAGCCAACTAGTGTGCTCATATTCATGACAATAATCAACACTCCACCTCTTCGAACTTGGGATTACGGGAGCCACGATTTGTCGGAACCACCATGAATGCTTCGACGAGGTCCGCCCCGAAAACGACCTCGAGAACCTCCACAACTGAGAAGAGCACTACTTTGAGAGGCATGAGTGCCGAGAGTTAGAGGTTGGATTTCCACATGAATCTAGACGTAGAAGGAATCTAGAAGGAATCGGGCAAATGTCTCTTGGAGACATAGTTTTAAATGGCGAATGGCGAGGCGAGGCGATTGGCCCATTGCCTCGCCACGAGGCGAGGCGAATCGCCATGGCGAGGCCTCGGCAACACTATATATATAAATATATAATATATATATATATACACACACACACACACACACACACATTTAAGTTCAAGTACCAACAATAACCTTAAATATTCTAAAATAGATAATATATATTAAATTTAGTTGTAATTACTAAAAGCATCTAAAACTTAAATGTGAATACTAGTAACATTACAAAGCAAAAATATTGAATTTACACTGTGTAGTAAACATAAAATAGAAAAAAGTTAAAGAAGGCAAACAAAAAGTGTAAAATAAAAGTAAATGAAAGAAAAGATGTTGCACTCTTTCACCTTGGACTATTGATCATACTAGTAAACATAAATATAGTAAAAAATGAAGAGAGAAGAAGACGGCAAAAACGGGAACAGGAAAAAGAGAAAGGGAAAAGGAAAATAAAAGAAAAGGCATGCATCACCGACCGTCTTGGCGGTGCGAGATGGTGGTCGGAGTTCAGAGGAGGCCGGAAATAGGATGAGTCAGCCATGGGTTTATGCAATTTTCAAATTCGAGAAGCCTAGGGAGTTCTTTCGTAGAAGTCCTAGTTTGGGGAGAACTATTTAGAGATTTTTCACTGAAGTATTTTTGCTTTCGATCAGTTTTAATTTTATTTTTTCAAAAAGTGTCGCTTTTTTTTTCTTTTTTTTTTTTTTTGGACTGCCGCTTTAATTCCTCTGGAAGGCGCCGAGGCACGCCTCACAGGCGCCTCTCGCCACGCGAAAAGGCGAGCCGAGGCGACCTGAAGCGAGCGCCTCGCGAACAGGGTCGCCTCAAGCAGTGGCGAGGCGAAGTGGCCCTCGCCTCGGTCGCCTCGCCTCGAGGCGTCGCCATTTTAAACTATGCTTGGAGAGAATGAATAGCTGATTTTGAGAGAAAATGATCATTGAAGATATTAAATTATGGATGTACCCAGTCGAAAAACTCAAAGAAGTAATTTGTTCACGCTGTTTTTGCATCGCCTTGACATTGTTATTCAACGGAAGAAGAGAATTCGGTTCCTCATAAACCTTGTTGAATTCCCTAACGTAAGCCGTAGGAGTTTTATCTAGTTGCTCTCCTCTATGAAATGAAATGATTGCAAACTGAATAAATTCGAGAGATATTAGACCGGCCAGAGTATAAGAAGAGTACAAGAAGGTCAGGTTATCTATCAATTCCTTAATAAATTCACAATGATTAACCAAATAAGTATCTCCTGTTGAATGGAATTTCAAATCTGAACAAGAAGCTTTGTATCATCGCATAGCCATGCTAAATGAGTATCGTCCTTAGCATCCTCCGTGGGAGGATCCGAATCTAGGTGATCATCTTTCTCATTTCTTCAAAGATGTGCAATAGTGGTTATACTCCAACCAAGAAAACTGGTACCGTTCAGTTCAACATTATGATTTTGTCCATAATAGGAACAATCTCGTGCACAACTTTAGTCATAAGAGCAAACACTAACCTAAACAATGATTCCGAGCACAACAAAAACGAGAAAGAAAGTGTAAGAAAGGAAAAGAATCAATAACCTAGTCTACGGGATTACAATATCACCTAATTGATATAACCTAATCTATATCATATACACAATAACATTTGGAAAGTTCAATTATAAGTCTTAACACTCTCAAGAAGTAAATAAAACTGTATTCCAGTCTAATGCCATCTAATACTGCAAATCATTGATTGAAAAGAGGGATACAAATGAGAATTTGAAAAAGACATGTCCCTGAAATGTCAATGCTGATCTAACTAAATTACGGATACAACAAAATCTGGCGGAATACATTAAAGAGCACTTGTACTGTTAAGGCCAGCATGCTCAAATTGATTGTATTTGCAGCTAGCTATAACTAAAAATTGCACACTTGGGAGATAATTTGACTCCCAAGTAAATTATTCGTTCCACCAAATGACAGAAATTATATTTCTTTGGATGAGGAAAGACACAGAAAATATAATGTTAGAAAATGAAAGAGAAGTGGAGTAAACTAGAAATTTTGTATTTCTTCTGCTCCTGTATAGACTCACCCTTCTCCCCTAATAACTATGATACATTTCACCTTCATGCATCACTTTCATGCATCTCATTAATTCCTTACAAGCATTACAACCTAACCACATATGCATGTTAAATTTATTATCACCAATGAAGGAGCCATTTAAGTTTACCAAATACATACTTCTGATAGGAAAAGAAAATAAAAGGGAGAAGCAAAAAGTATCACCTGTCCTGTATGCCCATTATTACCCATATATCAAAATTGGAAAACGGCTGCATAAATGTCAAAATAAAGTAACATGCTTACTTGAAGTTGGCTCCTTGGTGAGAACGCTCTGCTCGGAATCTCTTTTCCTTGCTTGGAAGCATGGGCAAAGTAATGCACAACAGAATATGAGGAAAGCCGGCACACCCATAGCCAACACATTAGGCTTCAACAAAGAATTACCATAATTGTCTTTCCCAGCCATTAACACTGTATCATTATCAATCCTTCTTGATCCTTTTTGTACCACAGTTTCCACAGATTTTCTTCCAAATAGAAAAGGCGGTTTATCTTCTGCAGGAAAAACAAACCCAAGCATACAAATTTAACCTCAACAAAACAAAATCTCCATTCTCCTTGGAGATCCAAGCAAATTAACATGAACATAAAGCAAAAGTGAAAAATGAAAACATAAGTTTGTTGGTAGTTGGTACCTATTGATCGACAGTACTTTTTCCTGGCATATTCGGTAATGAGGCAGTGGTTCTCGTGATAGTTTATCATCGAATTACAGAAGAAATATCTATCCACCAATTTCCCATCCACATAAAACAATTCTAGATTTGGGTCATCAGAGTGATGGAAACGGTATGCCCCACAATCCTCTCCTCGCTTTAACAACCGAGAAGCAGATAATATCGTCGAATTCAAAAGCACGAAAAGAATTAACAAACTTAGAGCCATTCCACCAAGGGGCCAAAAAAGAAAAAAAAAAAAAAAAAAAAAAAAAAAAAAAACTGTTTCGACTGTTAAGCTCCCAGGATGAGAGACATCAACCAGATAGGCAGATAAAACAAATATTGCATGACCCTGGTTTCAATGAAACAACTTAGTGTCTGTCCAAGGTTTGCATATTCCTCTGATCACCAAGGTCAATATCAATTGTTCACCTAATTGCGCTGAAGTCAATAGGTCCTCTAAAATTGAACCCAAAAGCAATAAATGACACAATTGAATATTCCTTACAAGTTTCTTGAACTTTCAGAGGCCTCACAACAGTTAACTAACTCTTTATACAAGGACCGAAGAACTGGAAATGATTCGAAATTAAAGCAGTGTTTAATTCAAATATTTCCAAATCCTCGACCCGAAAACTCGAGTCCAAATTTAAACTGATTTCCAACTACCCATCAAATGATTCTTGAGCACCAATCAAGAAAACACAAAAGCACCCCAACTAATATTCTCAAGCCTCCCAAACTCGGAAGTGGAACTTGATCATACGAAAACACATCACCAAGATTCAACACACCACCCTGAATCCCTGATCACGATTAACAGGAAACCTACAAACAAAACGAAACCCAAATCAGAGCACAAGCCATTCAAAACCTCAGTGGATAAAAGCATATATATTGCCCATCAAATTAGAAAACATCAATGACCCATTAAAATTTTCTTTCCAGCTTCAACAACACTAGAAAAAAAATACAGAGTAGAAACATCAACTGGAGCCCAAGAAAGACTGACAAATTTCACATAATTCATCAATATTCCAGTTCAAATTCCCAAGAACAAACAACGAATATGCTATATATATATGTTAGGGGTAGTAAATAAAAAAAAAAATAAAAACATTAAATGAAGTCAAATAAACCAAACCTGCAATAAAGGCGGCTGTGACAGAGAAGCAAGAGACAATATATGAACAAAGTCTTGCACTAAATACCATTACAGTTGTATTTTGAATTTTATTTTGTTTGTGGCGATTGTTGGGAACACTGATGATGTCGAAAAAAATCAAATCAAATTGGAATAAAGAAGAAAAGAAGATAGACCGGACGAAGGTGGAAAGATGGTATCAGATTGTGGGCCTGTGTGTGCTACTAACAAGAGTTCTCGAACCTCAATTTTAATTATTAATATATTTTAATATTATACTCGAGTCTCGTGCAATTCGGTAAGAGATATTCACTAATATTTATAAATTAAAAGTTGGGCCAAAATTTTTTTCACCTCGTTATAAATCTATTCTTTCTTTTACACACCGCCCCGACAAATAACTTATTTTACATCCCAAAATTCACAAAATGTTATGCGATATTACACTCGCATGTCCAAATGAACCAGCACATATCCAATCAGCCGCATAATTTATGACTAGGCGAAAACATTTCGCATTTTTGTAATCTCATATCCACATCAAACGCATAATTTATAAATATGCGAACATCTTTCGCTGTTTTAAGAATCGCATATGAAAATCGAATGCAACATAATTTACGATGATTATGCGCCTTCTTTTGGCAGAGCTACATCGACCTTGCAAATTTATGACTGTGCGAAAATCTTCGCATATAATTCGCATAATTTGTTGAATTCGCATTTTCTGGAAATTGCACATCCAAGTCAATCGCATAATTTACTAATATGCAAAAAACTTTCGCATATATTCGCCGGATAATTGACAATTATGCGACATTTTTTCGCTCGCATATTGAAGAATCGCTTAACCAAATCGAATAAAGCATAATTTAATTGACGATTACGCGCCATTTTTTTGCAGGGCCATATCGACATGGCAATTTTACGACTATTCAGAATTTCATCGCATATCTGTGGCATAAGTTACACACCTCATTAATTGACTGCTTTTTCAAAGGTGAGGATTTCGTCTCTGCATTTATCATGCAGGCAAAAAAAACAGTGATCTCTAACAATTGAATGTCTGCACCATTCATCAACTGCATTTTTCTGCTTCTTTCATGTTAATTCTTTTTGTTGTTCACTTATTATTCGAATGGCTAGCAACCGTGTTAGAGTATTGGTGCACTTTGGTAGTTCGTTTTGCGGGAGTTCATATTTTGGTGGAGTGGCAGAACTGATGAGAATAAATTACGGCCGACAAATGTATTCTGAAGTAGTTTCTCGTGCTCAAGCATTATTAAAGGTCGATCCTTGTAATTTTGAGTACATATTGTGGGTAGTATTTGATGGAAGGGAACGAGTTGTGAAGATGAAAATCGAATCCAATGACGATATCTTAGAGCTAATTGAAGAACAAAAAAATCTCAACATTTACGTGGAGTTGGAGAAGCGAGTAAATGTAGGGATTCCGGAGATGGCGCAACAAAGCTTGACGCAAATGATGGCATCCCAAGGTGTATTTCCTAGTTCTTTTGGTGTTGGTGGTTCTGCATATTCCCACGAGGCCCCATATTCGCATCAAGCAGGCCCTAGTTCATTTACACATACTCGATATCCTCGGGGCGCTGATGATCAAACCGCGGGTTGTTCGAACCAACCAGGTCATTCTCGTGACGATGACAATAATGATGACCAAACCAACACACACAATGATGACTCGGGCAACGAAGACAAAGAGATCAATGAGAAGCAAATGTTCAAGATTTTCAAGGTGTGGTATTGCGAGCATATTGAAGAGCTAAGATTAATTACCGACCATAGTGACGTTGAAAGTCTTGCATATATGAATCGAGGTAGCACCCGACAATCCAACGTTGAACCACGAATATGGTCCCTTCCTATGCCGCCCACGACAACTGGATCAGATAGACAACCCATCCGCTTACCCTAGAACAATATAGAATTATCTTTGGGGTATGTCTTTCTTTCGAAAGAAGAGTTGATTTGTGTCATCCAACTGTATCACTTGCAACAAAAAGTTGAATGTCGAACACCCAAATCCTGCACTTCTAGGTTACTATCTATTTGTCGTTATGAAGGGTGTTCTTACAAGTTATGTGCAAGGGCAAACCGAGATGTATGGAGAATCACTACTTTGAAGCTAAAAGAGATAGTACAGCTGCTTTGACTCTGTCTTCCTTAGCAAACTCTATGACTTCACATTTAAAGATGTAGTTGACTAAGGTATTTTCCTTCACTTCGCTTCATTTGTATCGTCCGCCTATCTCCTTTTCTCTTCCTTTGTTGCCGCTCCTTCGCATTTCTACAAGAAAGTTTATTTGTTATTTCTTTCATCTTTCAGTTATGCGAATTTCCGCATATTGCTCGCAAACCCCATTTGCACTTCTACTCGAAAGTTTATTTTTTATTTTTTTTTTTATTTCTTTCATATTTCAGTTATGTGAGGGGGTATGTGAATTGCCGCATATTGCTCGCATACCCCCTTCGCACTTCTACTCGAAAGTTTTATTTATTTTTTCTTTCATCTTTCAGTTATGCGAATTTCCGCATATTGCTCGCATACCCCATTCGCACTTCTACTCGATTTTTTTTTTTTAATTCTCTATTCTGCGATATACAAAATTGCGACATACAAACGTCGCATATTATTCGCCGATTTGGTGCATAATTAATTTTTAAAAATTTTGAAACCGCTGACAGTTGGAATAATGGAACGTTACGGCCGATTTCGAGGCGTCTTTTCCGCTTTTCGAAACGTCGTTTCCTCCATCTACATAAAGCGTGTAATCTTCGATCCTTATCGCATGCCCCTTCTCTTTCTTCTCTTGCGGCCCCCAGAACTCTTTGGTAATGGCCCTCCGTTTTACCCTTCTCATGTATATGAGAAGCAGTTCGCCGGAGATAAACAAGAATTATAAAAATTCTTTCTTTCGACCCGTGAGGCAATTCTTTACGATTACTGTGTCCGAGTTGAGAACTCCTAACCTTCCGAATTCGTCGGAGGAAAAAATTCAACGAGCGGAAATTCCGCTATCTAACTTTATTAACGTGGCCCCCGGAGGAGGAGACATATGTGGAGACATCGACGATGATGAAGATCAAACCTCCGGGCCCGGGTATTGCCGGATCAACTGTGGGAAGGTTGAAGGTCGGCCAGGTTTTCCTGACAGAGGAACGTGGTTGGTCGACGGGGATATCTTCCCCGAAACCGTCTGAGCCCATCGGTTGAGAGCGTGGTGGCCGGGACCGAGCTCATGCAGGAGTTTTACCTGGAACTCCACAAACAAGCTCGGCCCACGGCTCCTCTTTCTGGAGTTTGACTGCTGTGGTAGCTCGTCGGCTCCCTCGTCCTAGCTTTTGTTAGGCTGGTTCTTCAATTTTTTGTTTATTAACTTTGTAATCGGCTGGGGTTGAGGCGACTGTAAAAGCAGTAGTGTAGGGATTTCTGTTTGATCTTTTATTTTCCGAAATACATATGTCGCATATTATTCGCCGAGTTGGTGCATAATAAGTTATTTTTTTTGTAGAATTTATTTTTTGTAAAATTCTTGTGTAGGTGAATGAACCTGAGACTATTAGTCGAAAATATTCCGCACAACAAACGCATAACACTCGTAGTATAATCGAAGTATAATTTTTTTTAAAAAATTGTTTTTGGAAATTTTCTATTCTGCGAAATACAAACGTCGCGTATTATTCGCCTAATTGGTACATAATAAGTTTTTTTGTAGAATTTAATTTTTGGAAATTCAAACCGTTTAGGATAATGAACCTGCGACAGTTAGTCGAAAATATTCCGCACAATAAACGCATTCACTCGTACGAAAATCGAAGATTTTTTTTTAATTTTGTTTTTGTAAATTTTTTTATTCTGCGAAATACAAGCGTCCGTATTATTCGCCTAGTTGGTGCATAATAAGTTTTTTTATTTTAGACTTTAATTTTTTGAAAATTCTAAACAGTTTAGGCTAACGAACCTGCGGCAATTAGTCGAATCAATTTCGCATACAAACCGCACAACATTCATAGTATAATCGAAGAATTTTTTAAACAAAATTGTTTTTGGAAATTTTCTA